ATCTTTAATTTTATATTTAATCTCTACTATTACAATTATTTATGTATAGTAATTATTTATAATACTCGATTATAAATATTTGCATCTTACTTAATTTTATCAAACTTTATATCTATCAATTGTGGGAATTGATTACAGAAATCATAGACCTTTCTTCCAATACTTCTTTAGTAAAAGGTTTCTTAACTAATCGTCTATGGAAATAATCATAGGAATTATAGAATTAAACCAATCACAATGTACGGTTTCGTCACAGTGGAGATATCTGAGTAGATTGGATAACATATGGGGCTGTGTGTAATATGTTCTGAAATATCGACATTGTTATAAACGAGAGGCGCCCTCTGCCTAAATAGAACAGTCAATTAGTGAACTACATAAGACTGCAACACAGAAATTTCGTTTTTATTTCATAGCGTTGACAGCTCTAAAAGTCAGTGTTCAAATACTAAAAATCATGTTCTCGCATGAGTTCCAGACTTTCCAGCTCGACGAATCGTGGAGGCAAAGTCTGTAGTCTGTACTCCAGGTCGCAGCTTGATCTATTAGCAAAGGTCAATGTAGAAATTTTCTTTGCTCTCACTGGTTGACGATTCACTGCTGAGATAGAGTCTACTGCAAATTGAATGCACAATAAAATGATGGGGATATATGGGCACCAGCTTAGGGAGTAAGCAAATCGTGCAGAAGTAGACATGTAGACATGCAGTAGTAGACAGATATACACATGTATTATAGAACTGTATATAGAATACATACTTACAAGCTTAAATTTCTGAAATATTGATAACGACGAGCGCGACGCGGAAATAGTAATGGGATTTCTGGAGCTCCATTTTCGGGTGACAAAATAATGCATTGGTGCCCAGTCTGCTCCTACATATCGTCTGTGATTTTGCGTCGCACAATCTGACATATCGACATAGCAAAAATTAGTGATTTTTTCACGACACTAGTATGAAAACACCAGTAGCGACATTTAATTGTCCTTGGTAGAAATTGAAACTTACATAAGGAATTACCGATATATTTCAGAAATTTAACAATCATAGTGAGTATCGAGTAATCTGTATACCTCATTTGAATTACAACACGAACTAGAATTTCGAAGCCATAAATTCATTGGGCGTACATATTCAAACGATAAAGGTGGAAATATGAACAGCAATTTAATTCATTTAAAAATTATGTTTCATATGGCATCAAGTGAAAATTTTATAAAGTATTAAATTGCAATAATGGCAATTGACACAAAATTACATTGAGGGCTAGGTCACAGATCACATAAGATCCCTAAAGTATCTTAAGTCTGTGGCTAGTTCTATTTCTACCTCGAGAAACTGATACCTCCAAGAGACTGATTTGAGCGGCCTCTTCTCAGAAATAAGAAAAAAATGTTATGTACTATAAAGCGGGTTAGTAGACAAACGAAATGTGTAAATGTAAATAAATATTTTTCATAATCTATGATCGATGACGAATGTCTTATAATAAGATATTGATATATTAAAGACAATGACAATGTTAATTACACATCAGAACAGTTAATTACAAATATATTGAAAATCACTACACACTCTGTAGAAATTTTTCAAATTTTAAGTTCTTCTATCCTTTACCGAAAAGTTTATACATATAGTCGTTGATAATATTTATATATAATAATATAATAATATAATAATAATATAATAATATAATAATAATATAATTTCAACTGATCTCTTCAATTTATAAAAAAGAAACAAACAGTTATTGTAGTTCTACGTACATAATAATGAAAGCATCCTACATAAATCTCGTAAATATTCTGCGTAACTATTTTTTAATTACAGAATTCTTGCTGTAGTGCGTAAACAAAAAGAAAAACTGACGCAACCTTCCCTTTACTTTGCTTTTATACTTCACGTATGTCCGTAATTACAGTAACTATTATCGATAATGAGAAATACTGTTGTATTGATATTACCTAATAAATTGTTATTGTCGTCAAGGAACTGCTGACGACAATGAAGTCTTCATGAAGATTCCATTAAAAAAAGTAACAGTCTACGCATGTGATATCGATAAATTCATTCAAAAACAAAATTTATTTTGCACATTGCTACATCGTTTATGGAAGATTTCTACATTCTAGGATACCATCGTAAAAATAGCAATCACGCAGAAGATTAAATCCTCGCATAGGAAAACGGAGGAAAAGGATCTGCTCTTGTTTTGACTAAGACCATTAGTATTTAATCATCTATCCATGAACAAGTGTTTCCTGTGTGAAAAAACGCAAAATATGCAGTTGTTCAAATTGCTCTTTGCTGATGGTATTGCGTAATTCCGCGTTCGTCGGAAATGTCTGCGATTCTATTACGATTACGGGGTCGTGGATCGGATAACGTGCACATCCGTGAAAATCTTCACGTTTCAAAAGCAGTAAAAACGTTTCATTCCTAAATCGTTTGTCATTAACGATAATTATGATCAAACGTAATTTTCATCAAAGCACGTGTTCCGAGAATGTACCTATCATTCCCAGCGATTCGACGATGGTTATCAACATTTCTAGGAATTTCCATCCGCTCGGAACTTCCGTTGCTTCTTTATGGATTATGCCTGTTTTGGAATGTTGACGTCGTAACAGATTTCTTATCTTTGAACAAAGAACAACATCGTTCGGACTCAAACCAGAATTGCACAGACTATATGGGAATAGCAGATTTTCCTTCATCATCGTGAAGCTCGATCCAGACGTTAGGCACTTTTAGCATAGCTATACTGAAATATAATATACCATGACAAGTGTTAGCCACACGAACCAAAAATCACAGTTATTCTAAAATTTTCTACGATAAAAATCATTAATAAAAAGTTGTTTATTATCGAGTCTGAGTTAAGTCTAAGATAACACTGTCCGACACGCGATTTTTGAGTTCCTATAGCCACTATGAAATTCTTGTAGAGCTTCACTCCCTGAACAAGAATCCGAAAACCGAATTGCTCCATCACCCTCAGTTTTTTAAATGAACGAACTTTTGTAAAAATCCAAAATTTTCGACAAAAATGAGGTATTGCATGAAAAGTACAAACGTAAGAAAGTTCTAATCGGTGTTAAAAGATAGAGGAGAGTTTCCCGAATATAGTGGCATTCAATTTATTAATTGTTTTTGGTCCTAAATAGCAATAAATTGATGTCAAAGTTTAAAAAAGTGTCGACGTGAGCAGTTTCTCCGCAATTCAGCACGTAAACTCTACCCAGGATCGGATTCTGTAGACATTTCTGAAGAAGAAACAGCCCGGTAAAAGTGTCGGTACGTTATACATTTCGAGTAGATCGAGAAAATGTTCGACGGCAACATGTACACGACGTTTTGCCGCCATGAGCTTCGCTGCTCGCTTCTCTCTGTCCGACAGGGTCGA